CTTTACAGATCCTTTCCTACTTCTGACTGTTTTTCCTCCTGTTAGGAGGGCAATGATGACGACACTGTTCATAATGCTTAATTCCACTGTGGTCCTTGTGCAGTTGTCCACTCACAGAAGGATAATGAGGCAAATCACGAAGACTTCATTGTGACACAGATTTTTATCCTCACATTTGAATGAGGCCATGTTGCAGCATCTGAACATTCTCTTAGAACAATGTCCTAGTTTGTTTCTCCATTGCTGTGACAAAACACTCTGACCAATACCAACTTGGGGAGGAAAGGGTTTATTCAGCTTACATCTCCCAGGTCACAGTTCATCAGGGAGCCCAAGGTAGAAACTCAGGACAGGAATCTGGAAGCAGGAGCTAGAGCACAGGCCATGGAGGATCACTGCTTACTGACTTGCTCCCCTGCCCCATCCCCCTCAGCCTGCTTTCTTATGCAACACAGGCCTACCTGCCCAGGGATGGCACCACCCACAGTGGGCTGGACCCTCTCACATCACTCAATCGAGAAGGTGCCCCATGGACATGGCCACAGGCAGGTCCAATGAAGGCAAATCCCCAATTGAGGCTCCCTCAACCCAGGTGTGTCAAGTTGACACTAAAGCTGTCCAGCACAAACAAGTTAAGGAAACAAGTTTATGAAGGCTTGGGAAGCTGCCCTCCCTCCCAGGTTGCCCTCCTGCAGCGCAGTTAGTTCTGAGGGGAATGAGGACTCTTCTCCAGAGTGATTGAAATTTTCTGCCCTCTCTAGCTTTCCTACAGTAGAAGTGGTGATAGGCCTCATATTGGCTTTCTACACACAAGAAAAAGAATTGAAATTGTGTATTTCTTTGTGTATCTCTGTGTGTCTGTGTAACAGTGTGTGTGTGTGCACGTGCACGTGTATGTCTGCATCTATGTGTGCATCTCTGTGTCTCTGTATGTTTGTCTGTTTGTATCTTGTGTATGTCTATGTGTGTGTCTGCATGTCTGTGTGTCTATCTGTGTGTGTCTATGTGTATATCTGTGTGTCTCTGTGTCTGTGTGTACCTGTGTGTCTGTGCATGTGTGTTTGTGTGTGTGTGTGTAGACAAATGTACTCATACAAGCTGTGTAAAAAGTCGAGACTATAGTCGCAGCTCTATTGCAAAGCATGTGATCTGACTGAGGAGGCTGATGTGCTACGTAGCTGGAAGTGATCCATGGAAGCTTATATTAATAATAAAGAGGTAAGCTGCTATGGATGGATGAGGCTGTAAAAATCCCGAACTGAACACCAGGGAGGACTAAGAAAGTTAGAGAAGAATTCAGAAAGGAGGGGACGCTTACATCAGGCTTTGGGAAGTATAGAGGAAAAGGGAATACTCCAGTTAAGTAGCATGAGAGCGTGGTGGGCCACAGTGGCACCATGTCAGGGTACTTCTATGCATGAGTGCCACAGGTGAGAGATGGAAAGTGAGAGAGATGGTAACAAAGCAAGCTCCTGTAGAGAGTAGATGTTAACTGCTCATAACACTAAGACTTAACTGACCCTGCCATGAAAAAATATAATGTGGCGAATCCAGCTACCATAACTGGGAATTAACCACAGTTGATGTGTAGCAGCAGACCATGACTCAGAATTATATTTCTTGGCACATCAGCATCCACGTGTATTCAGAGGGAAAAGTCCTTCTGATACTTTCAGTTGATGACTGAATTGGATTATGCACAGTTGATTTGATTTGCTGTATAGTCAATTTTGTCATTTAGATGACCACAAAAGAAACCAGACATTGATAAATTCATGCATTTTTTAAAGTTATAGACTTTGTGTGGCAGATAGTCTAGGCCCAAAGGACACAGAAGTAATGAAAATGCAGGGATTTAAATGTCTGCACATTTCTAAATCAAGAGGCAGCCCTGATAAATGGAGAACAGCTACCACAGTGACCTAAGACACATTGTTGTGGCAAACCCTTGTGAGGACTGCAAGTCCATCAGCTGATCACTAGCTTTCCCTTGTAGAAAGTGGGGTGACCACATGTTCTGAGTCTTTTCTTCTGTCTTTTCTTTCTCCCTCTTTTTCTAATCAAAGTTGTAGCAAGATTTTCTTTTTCTATTTTTTATTTACTTATTTTTTTTGAGACAGAGTCTCCCTGTATCCCCAGCTTGCCTGGAACTCACTATGTAGACCAGGCTGGCCTTGAATTCACAGAGCTCCACCTGCCTCTGCCTCTCCAGTGCTGGGATTAAAGGCGTGCACCAAAATGTCCATGCCCGGCCCCTTTTTTAATTTTTTAAAAATATTTTTATTTATTGTTTTTTGTGTGTCTGTGTTGCCTACATGTGTATAAGTGCACCCATGTGCAATGCCCATGGAGGTCAGAAGATAGCATCAGATCCCCTGGAACTAGTGTTATGGACAGTTGTTAGCTGCCATGTGGGTGCTGGGAATTGAACCTAGGTCCTCTGCAAGGGCAGCCAGTGCTCTTAATAGTTGAGCCATCTCTCCAGCCCCAAAAAATGTTTCTAGCACATTTTACCAGTGTGACTATGAGCAGTTTCAAGACACTGGGCTTCCTCACATATAGACACAGGCTGCTAATCCCTTCTCATTTCCTCCAAACAGGCCTCTCTAGGCTGCTGAGTCCCAGCAAAGAAAAATCACTCAGCCAAGAATTGTATTGAGTAGTACTAGGAAGAGTATCTCAGAGTGGAGTCAAAAGTTAAATAATTCTACCCAAGGTAAGTAGGAAAAGAGAGG